TGCTTTTCAACATCTCATGAATGATGTATTTCATGAATTCTTAGACAATTTTGTCGTCTGCTATCTAGACGATATCCTGATCTATTCTAAGAACGTCGAAGAACATGAAATACATGTTCGTCAAGTATTACAAAAACTTAGAGATGCAGGATTGTACGCCAAGATGGAAAAGTGTGTATTTCACACTACTCAAGTTGACTTTTTAGGATACATCATTTCAAACGATGGTCTCATGATGGATTCTAAGAAAGTCCAAACAATCATGGATTGGAAGATTCCAAGGACAGTAAGAGATGTCCAATGTTTCTTGGGATTTGCCAATTACTATCGGATCTTCATCAAAGATTTCTCACGAGTTGCAGCTCCACTTACACGCTTGACTAGTAAAGATAAATTTCAATGGAATCAAGAAGTGGAAGCAGCATTTGAAGCCTTGAAGACATCGTTTGTCTCTGCACCAGTCTTATATCGTGTTGACTTTTCCAAGGCATTTTTTATGGAAACAGATGCATCAGATTTTGCCTTGGGTGTAGTTTTATCACAAATGGGAATAGATGACAAATTTCATCCGATAGCTTTTCATTCAAGAAAATTCTCAGCAGCTGAGATCAATTATGAGATCCACGATAAAAAACTTCTTGCGATCATGGATTCCTTTCAAGAATGGCATCATTATCTAGAAGGCGCTTCTAGTCCAGTCACTGTGTATACAGATCACAAGAACCTCGAGTATTTCATGTCAGCACACGTGTTGAATCGTCGTCAAGCTCGTTGGAGTATGTCTTTATCAAGATTTGAGTTCATTATCACTTATCGGCCAGGAAAACAACAAGGTTTGTCCGATGCCCTATCTAGACGTTCTTATTTTGCACCAAAAGAAGGAGATGCAGCTTTTGAGCAACAAAGAACGGTCCTCTTGAAACTGGAGCAATTTCATCTCCGAGCAATGAAATCAACATTGACTGTTGATTCAACTTTTCTCAAGCAAATCCAGTCCAGTATGTCCTCAAACCCTCTTGTTTATGATATCGAGAATAATTCTTCCAAGTCTCATGATCCTTCTAAGTTCGAGTTTAAGAATAATCTATTATATTTTGAAGGACGCCTATATGTTCCAGAAGGAGAAGCACGTTTACGTGTTCTTCAAGCACGTCATGACTTTCCAACAGTAGGGCACTTTGAATATAATAAGACTTTGAAACTCATATCAAGAGATTTTTGGTGGCCACAAATGTGGAAGTCAGTCAAAGACTTTGTACAATCATGTGATATTTGTTCAAGATCAAAAATTCCTCGTCATCGACCTTACGGACTTCTTCAGCCATTACCTATACCAGAACAACCATGGTCTTCTGTTTCTAGGGATTTCATCACAGATCTTCCAAGCTCAAGATCTTATGATTCTATATTTGTGATAGTAGATCATTTCACCAAGATGGCACACTTTGTGCCATGTACAAAAGCTATCACAGGTGAAGAAATAGCTAAGCTTTTCATTGATAATATCTATCGCTATCATGGATTACCTAAAGATATCATATCGGATAGAGGAACTCAATTTGTGTCAAGATTCTGGAGGACCCTTTTCAAGATTTTAAAAGTGGACATAAAGCTATATTCGGCTTTCCATCCTCAAACTAATGGACAAACAGAGCGCGTAAATCAAGTCTTGGAGCAGTATTTAAGGTGTACTATCAACTACCAACAAGATGATTGGATAACCCTTCTGCCATTGGCAGAGTTTGCTTATAATAATACGGTACATTCTTCCACGCAACAAACACCTTTCTTTGCCAATTATGGCTATCATCCACGACTTGATACTTTTGATTTTTCAAAAGTTGATAATCCTGCAGCAGAAGATATGGCAAATCGGTTGTCAGAGTTACATACAATAATGAAGACACAATTGAAGGAAGCTCAAGAATGACAAAAGATAAATGCAGATCTATATTGTAAGGAGCAACCACAACTCAACGTGGGTGATAAGGTATGGCTACTTCGTCGCAATATCAAGACTACTCGACCTTGTGGCAAGTTGGACTATCGTAGGCTTGGCCTCTTTTCTGTTTCTGAACAGATCAACCCAGTTGCATATCGGTTACATCTACCGGAGTCAATGAAGATCCATCCTGTATTCCACGTGTCTCTTCTTGAACCATATAAGACAGTGGATATACAAAGAAGAAGACAAATGCCACCGCCTCATATAAAAGTAGATAATAATGAAGAATTTGAAGTGGAAGAGATATTAGACTCAAGGCGGCGCCGAAATAAGCTGGAATATCTTGTTCATTGGGACGGATATGATATTAGTGAACGCTCATGGGAGCCATCTAGGAATCTAGCAAATGCATCAGCTAAAATCAAAGTTTTTCATCAACGACATCCATCGAAACCAAGATGAAAATCTCTCTTATAAAAGAGACAAGATTGAGGCAAGATAACATTCAATTTCCTATCCTTGTTTGTAACTTCTTTGCATTTGTGACGCTAATTAGATGGAGAGCCAACAACCAGCGGATTCAACTCAAGAACCTTCGTTTGCTGACCTATCGGATGAGACATTACGATTGTCACAACCTTCAAGACGACGCAATCGAGATGAACATCTTCAAGAACGACATGTTCTTCCTCGAATAGATGGTGAGATACAACGCGTTTGGTATCACGATTTGGGAAGGGACTCTCGATGTTTGGTAATTTTGCTAGAGGTAGGAACAACTCCTGATGGTGTTCCGAATATTCTATTCGAAGGAAGTTACGAAGGCCTCAACAATGATCAAATAACTGGGTGGTCTTCCCGCCCTGGTATGGGACACTACCGATGGTTGAGAGGCCCTATCAATCATCTTCGAAGAGAACAGAGATCAGAGTATGTGGCGAATACAATTCGTCGCATCATAGATTTCCTCAACATATGATGACCGCTCCTCGTGGAACTCGTCTCTAGAAGGGGGGGTAATTTCATGGCCATAATCATGTAAGCTAATAATTACATATAGAAATAGGTAGAAGTAAGTAAAAGTAGATAAAAGTAAGTTAATTCTATAATATTTAATATAGAAGCTTCCTAGAAACTTCCTAGATGCTGCTTTGACTTCATAGGTGTCTTTAATTGACTTTTTGGATTAGAAATGTGGTCAACAAGTTGGCCATGTGCCACACATGTTGTTAGCTTGAAGATCAAGCTAACTATGTGGCCTACACGTAGAAAAACTTGCCTTGTAAGTCAAGGCATGTGTCCTACAAAGTCAACACATATTGGAGGTCCTATAGAACGTCGCCACGTAGCCCCTAGTTAGATAGTATATATAGAGACAAGAGTGAAGGCTTCTTCACTCTTGTCAACTCCTTTCTTGCTTCTAGTCTAGTTTCAAGGGTCTCTAGTTTTCTTGTCTTTTGGCAATAGCCATTCCAGTTTCTCTTTCAATATATATATTTATTTATTTACCTCTCTTTGAGTGAAGGCTCACTTGTCTGAATTGTTTTTCATTGAGTTCTTGTCCTTGACACTCGTCCATATTGTAGTCTTTCTATTCTTCTTTCACCATATAGTCATATTACGACATAATAATGCCTCATAGTTAGCTTATACCATAAGCTATCAATATATACAATATGTTATTAACTTGTTGGCCAACTTTCTATCCTACTAATCAAGTACAAATATCTACGAAGTTTCTTTATAAGATATTATCATTGATCTACTTCAATCTAATTCTACCTATTTTTATTATCTGGATAACTATTAGAGTGAATATGTATATCCGTAATATGTGCCTATATTTGCCAAATGTAACTAAGCAATTGGAAAAGTTCCAAAGAGCCTTAGGTTGGTGGAATATAAGGACTTTGAACTATATAGTGATTGTCACCATTGCAATTTTGGAAGTTGAATTTGGTGTTTGGGCAAGCTTAAAAAACATTATTGATTAAGTACAAAACTTTAGCATCTTTTAGCTCTAATGTGAGCGCACAAAAAATATAAATTTTATATATAAATAATTATTCAATGCTAACACTCTTTCCACAAATTAACATCCATTGGAGTGACAATGATGATGAAGAATGCAAATTAGTTGCAACATTTTACATAAAACTTGCACAAAAGAGAGGGGAGCCAAGACCCATGTTGGAGAAACAAAGAGAGTTGGCAAGACCTACATTAAGGCATAGAAGAGAAAGAAGAAAACATGGATCTATGTCGAGAAAAAAAAAAAAAAAAAAAAAAAAAAAATCTAGATGAACCAATCAAAAGCCTTGGATATGTATATAGATATTATAATAACTTGGAATGTGCTTGTAGCCTAAGCCATATATATATATAAGTATGTGTATGTGTCATAGTGTGTATATGAAATATTTGTATATTTATAAAATAAAAACAACAAAGGTTTATTTTTTACAGTTTATTTTTCTTTTGTATACTTATTTTTTAAAACAATTAAATTTTGAATAACAATTATAATCTATTATTATTAATCATTAATTTTTTAATTTTTTCTATTCTAGATAATCAACCATTAAAAACTTAGTATTTAGGTAGCTCTTTCTCAAGTCATTAAAAAATTCAAAACAAATATGATACATCCTTGATTTTTTTTTATTAAGAGTTTTCGCTATTTCCAAATATATAAGACACGACTTTATTTTTATTTTTATAAAAGGTCATAATTGAAATTAAGTTATGACTGACATTGATTTTAACAATATTCTTGTAGGATACCCGAATGAAGTCAATGAGATTCGTATCAAGTCAAAAGACTAATTTAATCAACTAATAACTGGTATTTGGTGTAGAAGAGGCGACAGAGGATCTAGGATTTAAGTAGAAGCCCAATCTTACACTTGTCAATCTAGTCAATGAAATGTAAAAAAGTGGAGTCCCAGAAGATCAAGCATCACATGGAAGTTCTTGTCAAAGGTAAAATGGTCCGTTGATCACATGCAAGAATAATGCAACATTCTGCACAAGATGTATCTTCAGCCGATGCGTCTAAAACAACCGAAAGCTAACATTTACTGAATAGTTGAAATGGTGACGCAACTTTTGCGAGCTTCTATGTGACTCAACCAACCAACGTAAGAGATAGATACCCCGAGTTTATTCTCAAAATTCTGGGACATCACCTGAAAGCTTCGGAGTTCAATTCCACTTTTTGACTTAATCACCACGTCGGTGATAATATTGTTAGTTCCACAACAGACGGAATTAGCTGCTGTAGGTACATAGTACTGGGTAATCAAGCTCTCAAGTGAGAGAATGGCTTAAGCCAAACCTTGTTTAACTATTGTAAATCCCGTGGTGAATCAGTTGGAAAAACCTCTAATGAACCACATTTAAATTGATCTCTGTTTAGAAGTGTTCTACGTTGCTCTCTTCCAAACTGGTGTGTTTTACATTTCCAGAATTACCTCTACGGTACAAAATATCGTAGTGACCTGGACGGTAAAGAAGGATCACATCAGGATCTACAGCCGTATTCATTCCTTCCGGAATAAAGTCGTGCTTGTTAACTGTCACAGGTTTGTCATTCATGTCCCCACTTTGGTCAAGGTACACCACACGTACAGGTACCCCCAAAGCATCTGACAGAGCAATTATGTGAACATGATCACTTTCCTCGCCCATAGGCTCCACACATGACCGACAAAACTGCACCCTCCACGTTCGCGTTGTAACATAATGCATGTCAGTATAGAGCTTTGAAGGTAGGCATTGAAACCTGCACACTCTGCTAGATTGAAATATTAAACTGGAAACACAAGTAAAGATGACAGTCATGGTTGATCAATTCGTAAATGCATAGCCAAAAACCCACCTGCACAACACTCATGTTGCTCATACCCTGAATGAATGGTTCAAAAAATTCCGAGCGCCGGCGTATTTCACCAGACGTCACAAACCTGAAAAACATCACCACTAAAGTCCACATTATGTAAGGCAATCTACTAAAAATGTTCCATTCGAAAAAGAGAGTTCTCAAACAATGTTGTTGAAGAAAGTTTTAAACAAGACATTACAAACAAAGTTGACTGAAGATTTTCAAGAATTCAAAGAAGGCAACATTATCTGAGCCACTTGACACAGGAGCCCAAGTCTTCTGAAGTGCATGACACCAAACATATCAGCCATAAACGTACACCATGTGATGCCATAACGCATGACACGCATCCAATAAAACTATGCCCCAAAATCTGAATTCCAAAAACCACTTACCACAATTGGAAACGTACTGGTCTCTGCAGCGTTCCACAAGTGTCTCAAGACTGATTCACCACAAAGAGTTAAAATAGTATAAGAAACACTAAGTTCGAATTTTGTTAAAAACAAGGATGCTGTAAATCAAAGAGTCAAAAGCAATGAACTTCTCAGCCAAAGCGTTGAGGAATGTAGCTTAAAAGGGATAAAAAACTACCGACTATACAGGAAATTCTGCAGGAAACGAGTCCACTAATTCCTAATTTAATCCTTCAGCTGTCAAAAAGCTCAGATTGCTCGAAGTTAAGTATCCAAAAATAGCACAATTTGTCAAATACCTCGTTGAAGTCTCTTTGCCTTGAATGACACCATGCAATTGCTCAACAAAGATCTGAAAAAAAACCAAAGAGATAGAATTCAGAAGTGAATTCTTAAGTGGTGAATGACGCTCTTCAGCTTCAAAAGTTAATCCTTAGCATTAGAACTTTGATAACTTCGTATCAACAGAAGCCACAAATATATTAATATTTACATGTCACTTACAGCCAGATAATCCTCAAATGTGAATTCAGCTTGACCAAGATCAATCAGGGTCTTCTTGCAAATTTCAATAGCCTTCTCCATACGTGCAACCTCTGCCTCATCTTGTATAACTAACAAATGCTCCTGCACAATAGCGCGTCTTAATCAGAAAAGAACCCAAATAAATTAAGCTTAGAATCACAAATAAATAAATAAATAAATAAATAAATAAACAAGTAAAAATTGTAACACACTAACACTCGAAGGATGGGATGCATTTCAGAGAAATAAAACTCATGCTTACCAAGTAAGAGAACATAAAACTTCGGAAAAAACAGTTGCCATCACCACGAGCACGCCTAATTGCACCATAGCTTTGTTTCAATATCTGTAAAAGAATTATTGACCAGCAAGTGAAAAACAAAGATCACCTAGTAACGATTTCCAGTGACACACTCGTCAATTCATACCAATTCTGTGGGAGCAAAACTAAAGATAAACCAGTAAACTTCTAACTCAAGTAATCGGACTATAGGACTTGAAGTTTACCAGGAGTTTGGCAAGAAAAACAGGGCTGCCAGCTTTATATTCTTCTTCGAGAACAGAAAGTGGCTCCTGCAATGAGAGGGAGCACAAGGAATCTCTGAGGGACACCAACTTCAATACTTTGTTTAGCGATGACATCGAGGGCAGCCAGACGACCAGCCCTGCAGAACCAAAATCAACGCGAACCGTTCCACTTTTCGTAAGAGGAAAAGCACCTGCTGAACTCCTGACATCTAAATTTTTGCAACAAGAAGAATGGGTGGGGCAGTATGGTATAGTAACCAAGTCTTTGAAAGATGATTCAAAATCAGGAGACAAATTGGATCCAGACCCTACTGCGAATTATAAATGTGCTAATTAAAGACTTTAATTTATGCGGCATAATACTCCTTTGATAATGCTTCCATGATACACGTGAGATATTTCCTAGTTACATACTGAACCCTAATTCTCCAAGAGATTTACAGTACGTGGTGAGTCTACGTAAAAGTCAACGTTGTTATCCACTCATATCTGTCATAAGTCATGAGAACCTGTGTTACCATGTTTTGACTGACATGACATAATTTTTCAGAGATCATATATTTCGAGATTAAATAAGTAATTATATTAACAAGGGAAAAGAAAAAGAAAGCAGCGTCCGATGCTTGATCCGCAATCATCTACTTAAGCAATGTGACTTCCTTGACACGATCACTAAACCAAGATAAAATTCGAAACGGAGAAATACGAGTTAGGGTTTACTACAGAGCGTCGGTTCCAGGACATGTTTTGAACAAGTCAGAAGATCAGAAATAAACATATGTTCATTCTACTCTCCATAAATTCCTGCAAAAATATCTACAGAGAAACATGTAAACGAAATTAAGAGCCGATACCTGATTTCTGCAAAGTAAAAAGAAAAAAGAAAAAAGAAAAAAGAACTAATCGACATTGTGATCTTCTGTAACAGCAATCAAGAGAACCGAATTTAAGTTTGATCCGTCACGTGCACTGGTAAACCTTCTCCACAAGTGAGAATGCCTCAACAATTTTTGTGCCAATCCTCCATTGAATAAGCATCTAGATTGGCGTTACACATTGCAATACAATATTCTCGGCGAAGAACCAATTCTACGTAATGATATCCCGTCCAGACCCATAGAATGCGAAGCCAAGCTTAACGTAAGAAGCTAAGACTAATTGTAAGGAAACACATGTCAGTCACTGCTTCAAGAAAGAAAACATGGGTACACTGCTTCAAGAAAGAAAACAAGTGAGCCAGTCTCACCTTGTCACCCACAAGTTCAAGCTTATCCGCATCAGCAGCCCTAATTCGGTTATGAAACGCCTGGATCTCGTCATCACGGGGCCTATCTTGTTCACCTCCAGGCTCTGTCACATTTTCCGTAACATTCATGTTTGATATCTCACCGACGTTTCCACCCCAGAGTTCAGGTCACACCCTCCCTCGGTCCAGCACCCCTGCAAACGCTCCTCGAATAAACCTCTGCACAACCAATGCACCTCCCGTGGCCTCTCAAAATTCTAAACCCACTTTCTCCGCTACATGGATCAGTGCAACAACAACACACGTGTGCATTCAAGATGTGCTATTGCAGCATGTCATGGGGTATCTCAATGGCGGATTCAGCAACCGTGGAAGAAGCTACGGAATATGCAGCAGCAAAGTGGATTACAAATGTGGGTCACCACCCATTCAGGAGTGCTCCCAAATTATTCTACTCCTTCCTCTTCTTGATTTCAAACTTGCCCTTTCCTCTTCCACGCAAGTGGAAACATGGCGGAAAACCTAAGCTACGCACCTTACCCTCCGCAGCAAACTCTGGTTTCCCGGTTATCGCCATCCAGAGTAACTGAACCTTGTTATCCGGGTATATTGAAGGGTATTCCCAAATTTGGGATTATAGAGTATAAAGCAACAAAGGGGCGACGAGGAATACAGATATTGTTGGACTAGATATTATTGAAGGATGCTTCTAACTGGTTCCATGTGTGACATTTTGGACAAGACAGCAATGAAAAGAATAATGCATCACAACATTATGTTCGTTTCAAAAAACAAATACTTTTAAGGGTTAGCGTTAATGAAGGATTAGGCTGGCATCGAGTGACATCGAGTCACACCTGGACTTCGGATTCGAATCAGAAAGGGAAAGGGTAAGATTGAGGAGTCGATAAGTGGGACCCACCTCAAGAGCGACGGACGAACCAGAGTGCGTTAGGGTGGAGATAATGCACTTGGGGAGGGAGCGAGAGAGAGGGCTGTTGCATTTGCAAGCAGAGTCTCTGCAATTTCTGCTCCTGCAGCCGCTTGTCCCTCATCTCCTTCACTCCTGTGCTCTGTTGCGGTGTAGCTTCTGAATCGACTTTTCCTCTTCGCCGTTGTTCCATTGATGCACTGAACTTATTGCTTGAGGTTCTTGTTTTGCAGTTTACGGTTTGGTGCCTTATCCACTGTGAAAGACTGTGGGTTTTTGTTGGGGTTTAAGCTTGGTTTGGGGGAGCGAGCGAGAATGGCCGCATTCTGAAGTCGACGTTTGGGAGGGAATATGGCGGCTGCAGCTGGAGGGATTGTGATAGGGGACCTCCGGCTCCGTGAAAGCCTTCACGCTCTGTCCTGCATTTCGCGGTCTTCTCCTTCTGAGTTTCTCCCCTCTTGCAGTCATCTCTGTCTTGGTCGAAGCCGTGGAAGCTGCTCATGGAGAGAGCGGAGTGGAACAAGAGCTTTTGTTACCGTGCAATTGAGAGAAACTGGGAATTTTTCAGAGGGTTTGCTAGAGGGAATTACTCAGGGCTTGTACTCGGACAAGGATAATTTGGGGAATGGACATACTGAACGTTCTGCACATTCTTCTGATGGCGATGGAAAGGGTGTTCCTTCTTTGGACATCCCCTTCCCCTCTTGTGATAGGTCCATGTCAAGTTACATTCAAGCAATCGGTACATTACAAGAGAAGCGTTTAATTTCGAATGTGGCCGATACTTTAACCATAAGGAGCCAGGTAGATAATTCTTTGAATGTAGAAGAACGCCCCGCCATTAAGGTCGGGGGAAGATTATCTAAGAGGAATATATACACTACTAGACAACAACATAGAATAGTTGATTCCGGGAAGTTGAACGGTTATGGGAGGGATCAGAAGACGATAAAAAAGGATAGATATGTATCTGATTCAGCCAGGGACCCGAAGCAGAAGACTCTCAATTTGATTAAGGCGCTAGATGGATTTCCTAATAATAGTACTGACCATTTACTCGAGAATTCCGAGTTGCAGTTCTCATCACGGGAATGTGCTTTTATTCTCAATTCTCTGCAGAGCCAGGATAGAGCGTTAGAAGCGTTTCAATGGATGCGGGAAACCGGGAAGACAAGAGGTAATGTGTATGCATACAATATAATGTTCAAGATTCTAGGAGCCAGGCATGAGTGGTCGAAGATTGACGATTTTCTAGGGGGGAAAATGCAAGAAGATGAATGCGAACCTGATCAGTACACATTCAATACCTTGATTATGAGTGCAAGTAAGGCCAACTATGTAGACTATGCAACGATAACTTTCCAGTTAATGTTACAGACGGGTGTTCTCCCAAGCATTTTGACCTACAGTATGATGCTACTGTTATACCAAAGGCATCGTAAAGTCGCCGAAGCAGAGAGTGTTTTCTCTCACATGCTGAATAGTGGTGTTCAAGCAGTTGTGGCATACTCTGTCATGATCGCATTGTACAATCGGGAAGGGTTGTTTGAAAAGTCGGAGCAAATTGTGACAGAGATGAGAAGAAATAATGTGACACCTGACCGAGACAACTGGTTGAAGCAATTGAATACTTATGGACAACAGGGGAAAATCGAAGAAGCAGAGCGCATAATGGACACAGTGGAGGAATCAGGGATGAGTCTGGGCCTCGTTGGTTACAACTCCATGATCACTGCCTATGGAAAGGCGTGCCTTTACGATAAAGCTGCTCGGCTTGTTGAAAAGATGAGAGAGGAGGACCTTGTGCCAGATTCGATCACGTACAGCTGTATGATAGGAGCGTGTGGGCGCGTGGGAAAGCTCAAGGAAGCATTGTCTTGGTTTGCTGAGATGAAGAGGCTGGAAATCAAACCAGCATCATCGAATTTTAATACTTTGATAAGTCTCTACGGGAAAGCAAAAGATGTAGAGGGAATCGTTCGTGTTATAACAGAAATGAAGAAATATGGGTGCAAACCCGACTGGCAGACACTAGATGCGGCTGTGAGAGCGTACGATAGGGCGGGTCTTATTAAAGATGTCACGGAAATCCTCAACTTGCTGCGAGATGCGGGCTGGGTCGAGGAGACGGGAAGCTATGGCACGCTGCTACACGTTTACTTGAAATGCAATCTCCCCAAAGAGGCCTTGCGAATATTTTTAGCTATGCGCAAAGCTGGTATGGCTCCGAAGGAGTACATGTGCCGTAGCTTGATTTGCACATTTAGGGATGCTGAAATGTTCGACGGTGCAAAATCAGTGTTCAAGGAAATGCAGGTTGCAGGTGTCACTCCTAGCTTGGAGAGCTCATGCACTATGATCTATGTTTATGGTATGAACGGCGATGTTAAAGAGGCCGAAGGTCTTTTTCACTCACTTCGAAGTTCAGTCAAAAGATTAGATATCTTTGCTTATAATGTCATGATCAATGTATATATGCGTTGTGACATGCCTGAAGGGGCTATCAAGGTGTACAAATTGATGGAAGAAGACCATCTGCTTCCTGACGCGTATACATATCATTCTATGCTGAGGATGTGTCAGAAGTGTAACCTCCCGGCGCAAGCCGAGGAGATTTATTGGAGGTTGAGAAACTCTGACGTTGAGCTAGATGAAGTAATGTGCAACTGCGTGTTGAATACCTGCGCAAAATTTTTGCCGCTCGAGGAGATGCATAAATTGTTTCAGGAGATGATCGATGTTGGGTATGTTCCATATAATATTACCTTCAACGTAATGATAGATTTGTACGGCAAAGCTGGTATGCCGGAAAGGTAAGATTTCCCCTTTCTTCTTGAGACATGTAATAACCGGGCTCCTTAGATGTGGTACAAGTATCGTGCTGGTGTGCAAATTTCTATCCAAGGTTGTATATCTAGCTCAACCATATTATGCTAGTGTGATTCTGTCTAGTAATCCCCAAGGCATTCTATCTCTCTTGTGCTTGTTTGATTGGTCGCTTGGATCCAGTGTACGTCTTTGTTTCACTGACGTTACACATTCTCAAAACTTGTGCATTTCTATCACGTTAGCCTCGGATCCAGTATTGCCTCTAAAACCATAGTATCTAACTCAATATTGCTTGTTTTCTTGTTTCTGGCTTTTTCTCTTTGCAGGGCACACAAAGCTCTGAAATTAGCTCAGCAATTTGGATCAGCAGACAAGATAAGTTTCAGCACTTTGGTTCATGCTTACGCTAAAAAGCAAGACTTTCCGAATATGGAGGCAGCACTTTGGGAAATGCAGAATGCAGGATATGGAAGCTCCTTGGAGGCGTACAATTCCATACTTGACGCGTATGGAAAAGCAGGTCAGATGGAGAAAGTTTCGGACGTACTTGCTCGAATGGAGAATTCAGGCATGCGGATGGACCTTGCATCGTATAATATACTTATCAATACGTATGGAAAGAACTACATGATTGCTGAAATGGAGACTCTGTTTCGCACGATGCAGGTAAGCTCGTGTATTTTCAATCCAGCGTTGAATGTTAAGTTCTGTACAACAGGCGAGTTCGATCATGACAAGTACCTAGCGATGTAGCGTATGTTTATAACATAGAAAGTCTTCTAAATTTTACGGCCCGTTTCGTCTAACCCAATGGTGGATTTCTTACCGTGTATTTGAATTTTAAATGAGTGATCTCGCCGTTCATTTTCACTATCACGGAGGTATTATGGGCTATCTGTACACTGGTCTTCTTCGCCCCTTCTAGAAACTCAGGCTTGTCAATTGGTTAAATAGTTTTAAGCAGAGAAAATGTGGTTATGTGATGTCTTTGATCGTGTTCATTCTTTGCAGGAAGAGGGCGTTGTGCCTGACAGGTGGACGTACAATACTATTATTAGAACATATGGTTTTGCGGATTATCCTGATAGAGCTGTGTACTGGTTTAAGGCGATGCAAGACGCAGGGATTTCACCAGACAGAGTAACGTATATGATTCTTGTCAGTACTTTCGAAAGAGCAGGAAATATTGATGAAGCAGCGAGGTGGTGCTTACGGATGAGTCAAGCAGGATACACAAGATGATAATCATAGAGACAGTAGTATCTAACTGCTTATGTAAATGCCACTTCTTTCATCATACTAACGTAGAGTCAGCAGAATATTTTCCACGGCCTTCTTCGTTTGTTTCTCCAGGATCGGCACAGATAGAATCTAAGGACAATCTTGTATTGGAACTTGAGAATTACATTATAGTGCATTGCTGACTTGGTACTCTTTTTATCTGATAGTAGCAGTGATGTAGCTTTCATTTTTGGGTAGTTAAAACTTTTCCGCGTTATCCATGATGCTCTTGTATTCTATCTGACTTGTCTATGTTTAGGGACTAGGGTTGTAATCAACATGGTGTTGGATTGCCGTACATTTGTCTTGTTTGTGCAGTAAGTTTGTTGCTTGCGTGAGATATATGAAGCCAACTTTGACCCCTCTGAGCAGGGTGGTATTAAACTAACCGCTCTGAACGGACCATATTCCAAAGTCAACTACTTAGGTAGTGATGCGAGGAACCAAGTGTTTGAACTGGAGGAGATGATTGCCTTGATTACTTTGGACACTTTTGCAGTACGAACCCTTGAGTTTCTTACCTGAATTCAGAACTGACAGTACCTACTCAAGTGACAATATTGTGCTCTCAAGCAGTAACGAAATAAAATCGGTGCAATGTTTCTGTTAATTTTATCAGCTTGCACAACAGACAGTGATTAACCGATCCTTGCTTGTGGTACAAGGCCCTTTTTTTAAGAATATAATTCGATGACACTTTGGTGACGGTTTCGTATCACACATCTAAGTTCGTAAGGTACGGGCGCGGCAGAGTTATCTCGATCAGAATATATAACTGTCTAGGTTATTATCGAATATTGAGTTGTGTTTAAGTTTTTAATTTTCATTCTCTTATAAATACATATTTTACAATTCTTAGGGGGGGGATATAGTTTAGAAAAAATAATTAATTTACAAGCTGTTGTGAATTGATGAAAGCCATACAATCGAAAACTATCCAACTACTTATAAAATTTTTAAAATTGTGATTTTCGTAGTTATTCTTTAAAATATTGTACGTATCTTATGCTTACCCTAAAAGTATTCTTCATGTATCTTGTGCATGAGAGGAAATGCTAAAATGTATAGGTTGAAAACATATAGCTTGACAATCTTTAAATTGTGCAATAGACAACAAATCTTCTATATTTTAATCACTGTCAAAACCCTTCCAATTAGGAGTGTTAAAAAAATTCTTAATTTAAAGATACATGAATAACTGCTGTGGTCACAATTTTTTTTAAATAGTATCTTCTGAATAAATTTTATATAGATGCACGTCTTTTCAAATTAATAAACGAAGATGAAGGCAAACATTTGGATGTGAATCTAAAGAACGCTTCAGAAAGAGTAAAGTTTTTTTGGAAATCTGGAACACTTCAAACATCCAGTAAAATGCAAATAAAATATTGCTAGTAAAATTTGTCAAATTACCATGATATCAAAAAACCAAACATACGGTTTTGGAAGTCAATTTAAGAAGACTTCTTGCAACAGAAGTCTGCTTGCAACAAAAGACTTACAAATCAGTCAACGACTATTGCTTATCATAGCGTCATGGTTTCCTTCTGTTGCTTCTTCATCGCAACAATGTTTGTTTACTAGAAAACTAAGTTCACAGAACTAACCCACTCCCTTTATGCAATCATAACAGGTAGACACTCGTCTTTGTGGCGCTGTTACCGACACCAGTGATTCATGCCACCAGGGAACCACCGACATCGGAAACGATCATGCGCAATGCATTTCGCACAATCTAGGCCGAGACAAAAGACGTATTTGACGGTGGAATCATGAACATGGTGCGATGATCATCTTACAAGAGTCAAGGTTGCACGATTAGCGTCAAGAAGACAGCTGACCCACTTCACCACGCCGCCCTTCACCGCCTCGCTTGCCGCTTCTCCAGGTGCAGTACCTTTAGAATAGCACCGACAATAATCCACAACGTAAGCTCGGAACACTAACTGCACATACGGGATCAACCCTAGTGACAGAATTCCCCCGAGCAAAACCAACACCACAATCTCTAGAATCGTGTGCAGTTTCCTACTGCCGACACTGGTCGGATTCGGTACATTTGTCGATGTTGTGTTGTTGTGTGTGATGATTGGATGGGTCCCTCCAGCTAGATGTCGCAGTGGACTGTAGAGTGGGTTGCTCCGGTACATCCCCGAGGCGTTTGGCTGGAATGTGTCTGAGACTCTTTCTGGCTTGCCGCACGAGCTGCATAGGCAGTACATCGGAGTTGCAGTTGCTGGAATCGATTCTGGAGTTGAGCAGTTGATGGAGGCTGCTTCTTCAGTGGTGAGGCTGTTTTTTTCGAGGTCGGAGGTCGTGGCGGTGACGGAGCCGCCGCCTTGCGAGGACTGGTTAGAGGATTTTGTGGAGGATTGTTGGGAAGTGTTCATCGGGGCTTGGTTTAATTCTGGTGATGCCAAGCATAATTCCACGGGTTGAGTTTGAGGTTCTCGTTGCAGTGGATGCGAGCGAGGCGAGGTGCTCTGAAGTTGGAAGGTCTGTTGCGGCGTGAACAGCCCTGAAGTCGGTTTTCTAGGCATCACCCACTGTGGATAGGAAGATGCTTTGCGTGGCGATTTTGTTGAAGTGGTAAATGGGAGGGGATTGTGCATTTTTGATGACTTCCAAGATTTCGGTCTTGGAATTTTAACTGGAGATTTGTTGAGTCCTTCCTCCAGCTTGGACAAAGGTGGTAGTGACTCAAGTTTTGGCTGAAGTAGAGCTATCCTTGGAAGTGGTGTGGAAATTTGCAGTTTGGTAACTGGAATCCGCGATGTTTGTTCGTGAACAGGTTCCGGCATCAAGTTGGAGTTGACATCTGTCAATAGCCTACCCACAGAAATCTCATCCGCCTTCGGTTCGCAAGACTCTGCTTCTGTGATGCTTGTCTCCGTTTTTGATGTTGTCAAACATTTCAAACCAGTACTCGTAGCATCAGTGCTATTCGCAGGAACATCTGTCGCTTGTTCCAATCGTTTGGAGGGTGCAAGAGTACATTCTAAACATTTGCGCTCACACTTTTGCTCATATGGCATTGGAAAAACTTTCGTCATCTCAACATCGATCGATTCAATTACTTTCTTCAGATTCTTCAAGCCCATCGTTATGTCGTAATTCTCATCGTTGAAAAACTTGTTCCTCATATGTATCATGTTGCTGTATGTCTTCTTAACAATTGTAGTCGGGGGAGATTGTATTTCAGTCTTCTTCACCCTTCTTTTCCTTCTTTGTTTGTCCGACATGCCAAAATTAGGCTTAGTATAGTGTGGGTCGGTAGCAGCACATCGAGATTCCTTGCAATTAGGGCCACGCCCAAACTTCTTTAAGGTGGCAAGAACACGAAATTTGCTACTCTGCTGTGGAGTCAATGATTTTGGCGTTGGCTTACTGGCGCTTCTTGCATGTGGCGAGAACTGACCCGTTCTTGTAGGACTCGGCAACATGCTATCGTTCCACTGGCCGCATCCGATGCGATGACCCTCATTCCACGTTCCATGGTTGGACCTACACAGTTCAATCCTCTTTGGGCAGTTCTCTCGACAGAATTCCACCGGCATTGTATCAGACTGTGCTCCTGCTCCACATCTTACATGGGTCCAACACACCCAGATCTGGGTTCACAGCAGCCAGCCATGACCTTCTTACACAAACTGCATTAAATCACCCATCTTCAGAGCCCACTACTTTCGCGGTATGAAACATGGAGTTTGGTTAGAGCTTCCGATCGGCATTATGAGCTGCGAGCAAAACTCTATACAGATGCAACTCATAAAGACTTCGAGAACTAAATGATATTTTATGGAAACAATTGAGTTGTATCAAACCTTTGTAATAGGGCAATAAAGATATCAGTTACAACAATTGGCATTGATTCAAAAAAGAAGTTCCTCAAGACCAGTTTCAGGAACTAAACGAATGGAAGTTGACAACTTCAACCTTTATTGATTTCAATTGAACACGATTGCTTGCATAAAGGTGAGTTAAGAGTTTTCTTTACATGTGAATGGTATGAGTGTTGATGTCTTGCGCAAGTTGCTGAATGAAGTTGACTGCAATTCCTTTTCCACTATTGCGGCAACAATTTGCCTCTGCCAGAGAAAGCAGAAACAACGGCTTGGAATCAGGAAGTAAAAGAAATAATAGGTTGATAAGAAATCCACAATTAAATCACTCTGCAAAGGAATTTTTTCACATTAGGACGTCTGGAAAGTGCATTGCAAGCAAAGATAGAACTTCCAGAGATTTCTTGAAGTTGTGTTGAAATTCCAGAGTAGTATCCTTGTCGAATGAGAGAGAAAGCTACAGACTCTTACCTGCCATTACGCAACTAGAGATTGGCTTCTCAAGATGTGAAGACCATCAGCTGTAACCGGCTCCTAGCGGCGAGTCCTGGCACCGAGAATCATCGCGACCACAACCAGCTCCACTCTTAGAGTTTCTTTCTCCTACAAGCTTTCGGGGAGCCATTTGGGAGTGCTGCTTTCCCAACCTGGACTAAGATCTATCCAGATTCAAGGCTACCTGTTAGGAGGTGTTACTCTGTGAGGCTATTATAGCATTCACCACAGGTGTACAAGTAATGCGAGAAAAAAGTCATCAATCCCATGCTGCTGATAGAAATCGTCGCAAAATTGTAGTGTCTCAAATCTGAACATGACCTCCCAAAAGATATATTTTGAGCTAAGAAGCCACCTCTTCCTAGAGAACTTATTGTGCCTAGCTTCCACTCCATATTTTTCACAACTGCAGTTTTCTGACAATCTTTCAAGATCATCAGATCAAGCACACTGCTACTCGAAGGGCACAGACTTGATGATTCCCTATTGTGCAACTACTTATACCATCTCTGGATTGTGTTCAGTATCACCTACTCGGCCGTCGAAGATCTTCGCCAGGTTGTATGGGAACATCGCACTCGTACAGTAATAGCTGCTCACATCGTGGGGTGGACGAGGTCAAGAGTTTTAGAATTGGATGCCTGAGACTCCCTCAGGTAGAGAGAACGTCGCCTCTGTTGGAGAGACTTGAGGTGCGTCCTGTCAAAATCTCACATCCTTGAAAAGGCTACTCAGTTGCCAGTCAATTGGTTGAGATGCTCCTTCGCATCTGCCAGTGAATTTGGCAACGGTCGTCATGCCCATGCAAGCTCAAAAGGAACTACGAGTCCAGAAGGAACAGCATGCCTGTCGCATGGACTCCATGAGTCGTCGAAGAGCGCCTGTTGGCCAGTCGAAGCTTACGGCTGGTTCGTTACCACTTTGAATGAATGAGACATGAGTTGTGGGCTTAAGGGAAAGGTTTTGTCACCCTTGCTGTGTTTCGTCCGTTCCACCTCGGGCTTGGCAGCTCCTTTCAGCAACGGGGACCCCAGCTTCATGGCTACATGACGTTCATGCGAGGAAATAGGAACTTGACAACTTTGAGTCCTCGTGGATTGTTGTTCACGGCTTCCCTGTCGATTGTGTAGGAAGTTTTTAATGGCTGCAGCAAGATTTTTGGGCAAAGAGTATGTTGAACTTCCGGGTCCCATAGGTTGGAGAGTAGACAAATTTTGGGAAGTAGCTTGAAGATATGGAATTCAAGATTATGAAGCTCTGTGTGCTGTTGAGACGTGAGGATTGAGTTACCCAATGTAGGAGTTCGAAGTGACGGTGGCATGGAGCTTGGTAATTCAGCAAGAGATCGTCTGCATTCTCGCAAAAGCACTTAATTTTCTGGCGATAGATCTAATTAGTGAAATACATGCATCATAAATATCAAAGTGTAACATGCCCATGAGACGTAAAAATGCTCTGCCTATCGCTGAACTCACACTGTACTCACTTTGAAAGCCTCTACATTTGATACCACTGAGAAACCTTGACACATTCGTTCGCAACTTAAGGATGATTTATTTAAAAACGGAATAACTTGATATTTGCTGCAAGATTGAATTGCGACCATATTGCGGCGTCCATTAGTCCCATAAAGCTCAGAATATCTCAATATCTTTGCAAAATATTAGATTGTACAAGCCTTCTCTAGCTCTAAGTGCAAGTTCAGTCGAAGTTGGATTTAGGGCTTAGGGCTTACTGGGGTTGAGAATAATTCCTAACTGTATGGCAGCGTGCATTGTAAGAGCCGCTAGTTTTGATCCAGACAGATTGCCTGGGGATGTTGCCACCATGGTACTCAGTGAAACAAACCTACAAACGGTTGATGTTCGAACAAGCAGCTCGTATCTTTGTAGTAATATCACACTACCGAAGATATCGAATGCTGAGTGGGAACATCATGCTGTATAATGTGATGTGCTGACAAGACTGCTTGGAGTAGTCTGTTGTTTCGGGTGGATCATCCAAATACGGTCAGTTGTCCGACGTCACCTACAAGCCTCATCGTCATATTTTATAATAAATAAGCGGGTTTACAGTGTAGATACATTCGAAAGGAATATCCTTGCAATGCTGAGCTTTCTGAGTAAGCCCGTTCTGGGAAGGAATAAGCATACGTCCATTACTACGTATTTGAAACTCTTCCTGTAAGCGGGGTAAATGCATGGGAGATTGCTCTGAAAAGAATGGTGCAGTGTGGTTTAGGTCACTGAACCCAACAAATACAATAGCATCTTTCCAGTGAATCACTGCGAGTTCCGACAGGAAAAAATGCGCCTATTTGGATGTTAGATGTATGATTTATCCATGTTTTTGATCATGCACTTGGCGAAAAAATCACGAAAGTCCTCCACCATCTACCAGTAAACCACAAGTGTCCTGGCATGGTCTCCAACCTTCCCGGAAGTGTGAAGGTAAGACTATCGAGATAGCGATGATAATCAGATCAATCTAGGTGACCCACATCACCAAGTCAAGAATGGATTAACAGAAAAGAGGAATGTGCAACACTTCTCTCCCAATATTCATGTGCTTCTACTGCTAACGATGATACAATGTACAGAGTCAAGAGTTTTTCAAGCCTTGCAATACACAAGCGATGCTTCCTCCTTCACATGTTTTGCCACTTGGAACCAAAAAGTCCATGCCGCCTTTCCACATAGCACCCTTACCTGCACAAATTGCCCCAATATATAACATTGTGTTTTCAAGTTTGTCAAAATCTTTCATGAGAAGAGCACAAAACAGTACTTCATAAGACTGCTGCATGGATTTCAAGGACAAACACAAACCACAAGCAAAGCCGTAAGGAACTCAGTCTCCATCCTGTCAGGGCTTTCAACGGTTGATACCTGTTGCAGCTTAAGCTTGCCAGTGGTATTGACGCAACTAATGCCTCCTTCAATTCTGGTCTCGATCACTGATACTTCGTTTGACCCATTTGTGATTGGACAGGGTTGATCATCTGCGGTGCTCATAATAGGATACGATAAATGATCCAATGGATGCTCGACGCATTGGAGAGCACAGTTGTCAACAGTAAGACGACCCTTCCTGTGCAATAAACAGCTTCCAAGTTCTGCTGTGATTTTCAAGTTCGCCAATTTTCCATTGGCTAAGAATTCCAACGCACTGCAACAGTAGAATACAAATCCAATAATGAGAAACCAAACGAAAGATTAAAAAATTTAAAAGTAAAATTAGAACAATAGTAAAAATCACAAGCTCCATGTGCTAAACAGAGAACCTTTATTTCGATGTTCTACAAAGAAAGGACCACATGCAGATCCAAATCTTAAGAGATGATGGTCACCTGTCGAACCCACGAGGGCAGAGCAGTACAGTGTCATCAGCTGTTTCGCCACCTCCTACCTGCTCATGAAACACGCAAATAAACACCAAAAACGTAAACAAAAAGCATAATTACAATATTGCTCTCAAAGAATACAGATATGCAAGGAAAGAGATCTAAAAGGACCACACAAATAACTTCCAAATCAGCTCAATGAACATGGTTAGTGTCTCTAGGACATCTGCCAAACACTGAAACTTACCAAAAAGAGAGGCTTGTTTATACGAATATTGGGAGTCACATGCGTAACACCAGGAGCAATGAGGATTGTGTCTCCCGGCCTGCATTCAACATAGCAATTATGTTATTCCATTCCTGGCAACATTTACCCAACGAATCTCCGAGTTATGCTTTATTTGTGTTGCAAAAGCCATTACCACGCCAGGTAAGCATGGATGACACAGACAAGACAACAGGCTACACAGTAGTCGCCATCCTGTACATGCGATGTTGCTCCAAGTTAACACAAAAACTGCTTGGTTTTTCAACAAGCGCCGCAATCTGAATAATGGTTGCAAACATCCGCCAGAAAATGCATGCCACAAGAAAGACCTAATCACGTATCCTTCCAGGATATCCAATTCATGGTTATGATTTTCTGCACAATATATCAAATCAAAGAGACGTTCTCTCACAAATAAAAATTCCTACAACTAAAAAGCTGGGTGGGGGTACTACCTGGCACTCGTCACTGCGTCCTGAAGAGATAAAAACTGGTTTGGAGAGGACTTTAAGCCTGGTGCCACATGCAGCCACATGCGCTTGTCGGATACTAATTTCTGCCATCTCTGACACACCCTTGCAGCATTGAATCGGTCTGTGATATTGCGCAAGTGGTTACACTGGAGGAATCTCATGCAAGCTCGAAGACATAAAACAAAGAATGCCGGATGCAATGAATCAAGCAAGGGAAGTGATCACATGATAGTAGTCTGTTACACAATTTACATTCCAGGAAGAAATAAAATTTAATAAAATAAAAGTGGGGAAGAAATGGGGGGGGGGATGTGGTGCGTACCTGGCAATGGGGTGAGAAAGGTAAGTATCCGAACTAAACAAGCGTCATCGAGCAACTGCATAGGAGACACTTGAAGGCCAGAGCAGCCGCGCTTCGGCATGGATAATACACAAGAGCCCTACCCTCTACAACTTCTCAAATAAGACCCTCAAAGAACTACAATTTACTGCTGTAACTACTTCGAAGATCCGAACCCTATTATAAATTTCTTTAAGTACATGAGCTAAGCTCCAAAATCGAGACTAGGCGTAGTGGTTTTACAGCTAATTGCAGCTTCAAAGAGCTGCAACAAAGTTCAGCACCCCAGTCCTCGCTAAATGACCTCGCCAAATTCCGTAACTTTTCAACATAAACCGCAAGAAGTGACCAAAAAGCAATGGCTTAGACTCTGGAAGGACCGTATGGCGGGAGTGTGCACCACCGGTCTTGCAGTAGTCTGGGAACCCGAAACCTAATATGCCAGGGATGGAAAGACTCCACTTCCAGAATAAACAGCAACTTTCGGTTGTTCCATGAGACAGAGTCGCAATGAATTTGAAAGTCGCTGAGCTAATTCAGAAAAACAACAAGGGATGCAGGGATTGCAAACCCAAATATTAAAAACTTTAGGTGACGATCACAGTACGTAAGAGCAACCCAAGGAGACGAGTCCAACATTCAGAGGACAGGAGAGACAGGTTTCATGTATCCATCGCGAAGAGGGGAGGCAATTTCTTCCTCGCCCTGCAACTGCCTTCAAAAACCCCTCAGGCAGATTGCGATGATCACATAGAATGGAATTGATGAATTGGCCGTCATGGCCGCAAAACAGGAAGGTCCGCTGCAACCTCCCCATCCTCACAGCCCACGGTCATCGCTCCCGTTCCACGGTCATGGGATTTTGTTCTAAGACCGCAAAGCATCTAGTTATGTAGCTGATTCCGGTGACGGTTCCGACTGCGACATTTCGGTAAGCGTTACTGGTGGCTTTCTAGTGATTGAATCGTTGGAGTTTATGCATTTTGGTAGTTCACGCTGTGCTTGAATGGCGTGATCGAAAGCTCGGGGGTCACGTTGGATGTCGAGCTGGTTGTGCTGTGGGCAGTTTTTGTTACAGATGTACTGTAAGTGAGCGGTGCACTACGATCTGGGCCACGCTAGCGGTGATGAGTTTTGTTAAGTTGTGTTGGTCTCTAACAAGCTTGCAGTACAAGGTTGCATTTGCTTGGGTTTTTTATTGTAAGCTTCGCACTAGTCGGGCAACACTCATATCACCCACGATTGCTTCTCAGTTGAAACGTTATGGCATCAAAATCTGAAGAACGCTTGTAAATGGAGAAAAGCAACAATGTTTTTGTGTGGTCGGCTTTCTCGTTTGGCTTTCTGATCAGGGACTTCACAGTTTTCAATTCTGGGCTTGTGTGCAGGTAACCATATCGTAGCTTCCTAATCAGCACTACTTCTAACACGTTTAAAGCTCAAGTGTGGGATTTTCGCTCCATTCTACGACGTCAGTCAATGTCTGTAAGCCAGACTGAAAGAGCTTGTAGTCAAGAAAAGTGAGACACGGAGCAGATCATGAATCGCCCCCTCCTTGGCAACATTCAGGACTCTGAAAGCTCTACCGAGGTTGCACTGGTGTGCACCAAGAGCTTGATCCAGGGCTGGTGAGCCTGATGTTTTCCTGCTACTAGCATGGTTGGCACAACAGCCATCCGTGCTTGGCAGTCCCAAGTTGCTAGTCCAGGTTCGATTGTGGAGCTTGCTGCAAAGTTCAACATGCAGCACCACGGCATCAGTGCAGCGCTTGAGAATCTGATACCCACAGATCATGAGAAATCAGTGCACCTCCATTGTCAGCTTTGGACGACAGTGAAGAGAAAGCATGTCAAGTTTATTGTACTCACAGTATTCCCATCTTTTTAAAATCAAAATGTGTGTTTATGTGTTTTTAATATAAAAATTCTGCAGGTGAAGACTACATTTAATAGACATCAAACTTTCCATTAATTACATGAAAAGCTTACAGTGTGTTCTACAAATAAGAATTATTATTTCGGTATGAGTGTATGACAATATTTTAACCAAAGCGGCTAATAACGTCACGTATTGGACTCTCTTGAACTATGGCTGAATATACTTTTTGGTGTTTGCAGGCTTGCTTTTGAATGTGGGGTTTGCATTTCCAAGTTATGCATCTACAACTAAAACACTGATGCACATGTAAGCACATGTAATTTTTAAACTTATCGAAAATAATAATAATAATAGTTATCTCTAAGATTTTTAGTAAACAAAAAGGGGGAAAATACATTTTAATTTGCAAATACAATTTTAATTATTAAAATAGTGTCTGAAAGTACAAAAATAATAAAATGATGATTTTTAATTTATTTTTTTATGAAATTTTTTATTAAAATTTACTATATGTACAGACATACATTACTATTTTTTTTAAGTGGTTAATGTTTTTATATATATTTTTAGAAAAAAAGAAAAAATTAAAATTTATTACAAAAGAAATTACTATGTCAATTTAACATACATTTCTATTTTTAAAACATATGATTCACAATCTCTAAATTCTTTTTTTACATTTTTTTGAGAAAAAATTGCTGGTCCTTTTTATCTACTAATCAAAAATATTTTTCATTGACTTTTAAGTGAAAATTTGAAACCGTTCTTTGGTTTCTCTTGCTAATAAATAAACAATTGTAGTGAATCTTTTTACTTTTATTTTGTAATAATATGCTTGGTTTGTTTTGATATATGCACATACATAAATAAGAATAAATTAATTCATTGAGTACATTATAAAAATACTCAAATTTATCTATCCATGAATGGGTGTTTTGTATTAAAGTTGATACATAAAGAATTAGTTTACAAATGCTAACTAACTCAAACTATAATTAGATTAGATTTTTTAATTTTTTAAAATTTTTTTTAAGAAAATTTAAAAATAAACTTTGATATGTTTATAGCTTTTCTTTGTATATTGTATACTACAAGATCAGAATCACTACTAGTAATATTCTATTTCAAATACGAATTGAAAACAAAACATGTTACAAATCTCACATGTATCACATACTTCTAAATATTTAGTATGTAAAATTACATTAAGTTGTTTTCCCCACTTTGGTATGATTAGGGAAAGAAAACACAAAAATATAAAAATAATAATAATTAATTATTTTTACAGGTTTTAGGGTATCATGATAAAACATCAAAACCAAAAGCAGAGAATGGAATGTCCGAACCGTTGATTTAGGTTTGAATCTCCAGGTAATTAAAATGGCTCCACTCTTTATCCGAGTTTTGGACGTTCCCGAATTCGAACGCTTAGGGGTACGGGGAACCATCAAGTGCTCAACGTCGGGAACCGGAATACTCCAGAGAATTTGAGCCCGGGTCACTCCAGCCCGGCCCGTCTCAGGACCCACGCTGTAGCGAATATCTCTCGCCGACCTTAGAATAGGCTTTGGATTCGGTCCACCTCGTCGTCGTAGTCGTCGACGATCCGGAGTAACTTTGCATGTGGCTGCGGATTTGCGAGCTCCAGAGGAATTCGCAGCGTGGCCGGGCTCTCGTTGCACTTCACGACGGCGTGGTTTTTCGTTTGAGAGCCTCGCGAGATTGACTAAGATTTCCACCTTGACCGCTTCCTAAGGTGAAATTAGCCCTGAAAAGCTGTGAACAGAGAGTGTAGTTTCATTTAGGGTTTGTCGCGTGGTCAATGGTTTGCTTCGAATAGCGTGTGAGATACCGCTTATTAAATTCTTTGAGCGTCAGGCAATCCTGGTCTCTTTCTTTGCCGGGTGCTTAATTCTAGAAATCGTATCCGATGTGGCCTGGATACGTGGCAACGCCATGCGATTGGTCGCGCTTTGGGTTTGTGGTAGTTTGATTGTTCATAAGTCGTGCATATTGTGCGGAAAGATTCTTTAGTGCGTTTTTCCTTGTTACAGTTGTCTGCGGACTCTATTTCCACTTTGAAGTCAAGGTTTAGTTGCGAAACCTCAAGTTGTGTGGTTACGCCGGGTTAATTTATGTGCTTGCGGTACAGGATCGTAGTGGTTATCTTTCACTGTCTCTTTCGGCTTTAGCTGATTTATTTGACTTTTCTTAGGGAGGCTGACCGCTCGTTAGGTCGTTGTGCTGTTGATATGTAGGTAGTTTGTATGATTTCGAAGTGCTTTTGAATCTCTCTGCATGTATTATTTTTTCTTATTGCGACGTTCACATATTATTGTCTGAGGATTCTCGGAGGAGGAGTTAACGAAGCCCCAGACTTTGTTCCAGGGTTTCCCGGTACGGGATATTATGGAGTCCTCTTTAGTGTTGTGATGGGCTCGGGAAATTTGAAACGAATTCGAGGGTTTGGCGGGAACCTCCGAGAGCTAGATGAGAGCTTTGCAGAGGCCACACGGAATCGCCTCTGGTTTCTTGAGATCCTCACTTTGTGAACCAATTGAATTCCGGAGGGTAGGGCGAAGGCAGTTGCAAGACTGGGAATAAAGATAGGAGTCAAGAATGGCTGTGTTCAATAAATTGAAACAGCTCGATGCATACCCGAAGATCAGCGAAGATTTTTACAGCCGAACTCTATCTGGCGGTGTTATCACGCTTGTATCTACTGTATTTATGTTCGTTTTATTCGTTACAGAAATTAGTAAGTTATTTTGCTCTCCTTCGTCCCTATCAAGGCCTTACTGAAACTCTTCATGTCACTAAGGTATTACTGGATATGTAAATATTGTTTACCACTGTTTTTGTATGCGGTGGTCTCTGAAGGAGTGGCTTCTCAGCTGTTTAGTCGTGATAATATTTAAGGATCCAATTCAGTGTCTGCTTGTAAGATAGTCTTCTCACTACGATCAGAAGCAGTGCCGTTGACGAGAAACTAGATAAAGCTTTCCACTCATGAAATGGTTGTCTTTTTCAGGCTTGTACCTAAGTGCTCAAACGCAAAATCAGCTGGTGGTGGATACTTCGCGAGGAGAAACTCTTCAAATCAATGTACGTTTAGCATTGTTCATGAGCTGCACATAGTGAGATTCTGCTTGAAAATTTTCTGTACCACTTTGGCATTTGAGCAGATGATATTTTCTCTGTTCCCAATATAGAAGAGTGAGGTGGTGATTTTGGTTACTCTTCTCAGGGCCCTGAATTCAAGATAGATATGCTCCGAGTGTGCATGGGCTTTAAGACTAAACGAACAGCAGAGTCTTATGTATCAAGTTGTGTGATTTATGTTTTTACAGTTGGACATCACGTTCCCAGCATTGGCGTGTTCTATGGTCAGCTTAGATGCAATGGATATAAGTGGTGAGCAGCACCTCAATGTGGTACGATCCCCTGCTGGTTTATTTCTTGAAGCCTTTCCACTGAGCTTTGAACTAGTATTTCTCAATTGCGGGCATGCATGAGCCTTTTATATGACTTTTCTCATTCAATGCCGACCGTTACATCACTGTGTTCTTCGGAGTTTTATAGTCTTCAATGGTTCTTTTGATTTGTGCTTCGTTTGTGCGTGTACAGAGGCACAACATTTTCAAGAAAAGACTAGATGTTCATGGTAAAGTTGTAAATGCCCCAAAACCAGATGCTATCAACGCTCCCAAGGTAAGTTATTTAGTCAAATTCCAGTCATTATTTGGGTAGGTGAGGTTGTGGGAACATGTGTCCTTTAATCTTGCGTTGGCTTTATATTCTACAGAATCTGTGATAATGACAGTTATGTTTCTTGTAAGTTGGACTTCCTCCTGGGCGATAAATTTGAATTTGTACATGATAGTTACTTACAAATCACGGCTCTTATTTTAAATGCAGGTTCAGAAGCCGTTGCAGAAACATGGCGGGAGGCTCGAGCACAACGAAACCTACTGTGGCTCTTGCTTTGGCGCGGAATCTGTAAGCTTTGCATTCCATCCATTTTATGCGTTTTAGGATTAATGTGTTCTTGATTGCCTGTTTTCGTAGGTATATCCGTCAGTACGAAACAGGGAGATGTTTTATGGATAGATTGCAAAAACTCAAACTTTTATTGAATGAAGTGGTAAATTAATATTGTGGATTGCATGGAAAGAGATAGTCTTAATGAAAGGTCTTTCCTAAGCCGAAGCTTCATACCGTGTGGAATATGTGGGTTTTCACAGTCAGACGATGAGTGTTGTAACAATTGTGAAGAAGTACGAGAGGCCTATCGCAAAAAGGGTTGGGCCTTGACTAATGCAGACCTTATTGATCAGGTTGGTATCCTATTTTTTCCGTTACGGTTTGAATGTTATCGTACAAGCTTTTTCAATAGTATTCTTTACCACATTTGATGTATTTGATTCAGATGCGAGATTTGATTTGATTAAGGACCACTCTGCAATTTCTTTCTCTGTTTTCTCATTCACTTTGATGTGGTGTCCATCCAGTGCCACAGAGAAGGCTTCATTGAGAGGGTTAAGGAAGAAGCTGGTGAGGGTTGCAACATTTATGGAAAATTGGAAGTGAATAAAGTGGCAGGAAATTTTCATTTTGCCCCAGGAAAATCGTTTCAGCAGTCAGCTATGCACCTCCTTGATCTTATGGGATTCATAACAGACAGCTTTAATGTAATTATCCGTTCACCTTCCTCAGTGGTACAACCATAATGCCTTTGTTTAAAGGCTTTGAAAATCGTTGTACCTCATCTCGTGCCATTTCATTGAAGAAATATTTTAGGCATTGTCTCCTGTGATTATCCTTTTGTTCTGTTTGATATTAAACTTCAATTAAGAATTTAATATGAGGCTGATCGATTTGGTTCTTGGGCTCCTTACGATTGCAGGTGAGTCATACTATCAATGAGCTTAGCTTTGGTGCTCATTTCCCTGGAGCTGTGAATCCTTTGGACAAGTAAATAAGCTGCGCCCTTCATCCTCTTTATTTCCATTGATATTTGTCCCTTGTGCATTTGCTGCTTGAAAAAGCAGCTTGACCATTTCATTCTACAGTTTTTTACTTCAATTTTGATTCTTGCTACGGTTTGAAGGACCTATAATGGCAGAGCTAAAAGCTTCTTGGTTTTTCGGCTCTGATTTCAACGAATGTAGATTCCTAATGACTTGCAAATATGATCTGTTTACGTACTATAGGGTGACAAACATTCAGAAGGATCTTAATGGCATGTACCAATACTTCATTAAGGTGATTCTTCTTCGCTTTTTATTACTTTGGAGTTTTTTTTCAGTGTTTATCCTTGTGCTCTTTCATTATCATGAATGGATGAGAAGATTCTGTCACATATACTGAATGTCGAACTGAGGATTAAACAGGTGGTGCCTACAGTGTACACTGATATTAAGGGTCGCAAGATTTCAACTAATCAGGTTGGTAATATCCTTATATGCAAGGTTTCCATTCGTTTTCTTGTGTAGCCTAGACAGTTTTCGCACTATTATGTGGCACCTAGGTAGCATCCTCACAATTATTGGAATTGTTCTTCAGTTCTCTGTGACGGAGCACTACACGGCTGGAGATCATGGTCCAAGATTCGTACCTGGTGTTTTCTTCTTTTACGACCTCTCACCCATAAAGGTACTTCCTCATGAGTTCGTATTCAAGTTTAATAAATTGCACAGGATCAATACACCTCCTGTCCAGGATGGAACCCATTCCAGTGTGGTATTCTACACCTTATTCTTTCCAGATTTCATAACATTTGGTGCTATATTGAGATATTATAATTGTCGAAAAGCCGCCGCGGCTGAGAGGAACTCTTTAGTGAACATGTTATGGATATCTTATTCCGGCATTTTGCTTTGTTGTGTCAGGCTTTGGTAAGAAATTACCATAGACTACATCCAATGTGCCTCTCACTGTTAACTTGTATTAACGCGAGTATTGTGTACGTGTGGTGACTATTGCAGGTTAAGTTCTCAGAGGAGAGACCATCTTTTTTGCATTTTCTGACAAATGTCTGCGCTATCGTTGGAGGTAAGTTGGCCACTGGTCGCGCTTTGGAATTTGCTATACAAAGTTAAAAACATACTAAAGTGCTTAACGTTTGATTAGCTCTAAATTTCTTGTATTGGTCACCAGCAGCATCTATCAAGGGTTTTTACAATGTTTAATTTATCGTTTCTCGATTTTATTGGACAGGTGTGTACTCAATAGCTGGTATTATAGACTCTTTTGTTTACCATGGGCATCGAGCAATCAAGAAGAAGATGGAGCTAGGAAAGCTCAGCTAGTGAGGTTTCTATCTTTTGACCCGTTGCGAGGGTGCAACAAAAGCTTGGCAGCCAGGAAATTACTGTGGATAACTGTGACAGTCAAGGTTTATGCCCATGTACGAGGTATTCCATTTACAGTTAATTCAATTTAGGCTCAGATTTGAAAGAGAAGTCCATTAAGGTTGAAGGCTGTTCCAAGCGGCGAACAACTATTTTCGGACAGGTCTGATTCTGCGTGATGGAACGAGTGTTATAAACGAGTTTTTATTTTGTTCTATTTTGTATCTTTAAAGTATTGTTGATATTATTTTTTTAATCGTTTTGGGATGGCATCATAAGATTCAGTATTGAACGAGACATGGTAATAGCTGGCTCTTGAGAATGACTTAAAAAATGAATCTATGTATGATTTTCACTCATTTTCACTATTGGATAGTAAAAGGCCGGAGTTTTTAATTTTTACTATCAACGTTACCTGCGGTCAGGGCCAGTATGCATACTGTAGGGTGGAGTCAAAGCTCCACCCCTCTATGCTGGACAACCGTGGAACATCCACCTAACTCAGGTGGGGACTCAGGGTGGACGGAATACATCAGTCCCCACCAGTTGGGCAGCTTAGCCCAGGTGCCCGGTCTGGGTTGGCCAAGACTTGGCAGGAGGGATTCGGTTGAGCAGGCCAGCCTGGAACTCCTAACGTCAAAAATTTAAATTTGTATTAACTTTCTTAAGATTAGAAAGTTGAAAGTATTTATTAGTTTTTTATTATAAAATAAATTAACTTGGAATAAAACATTGGTAGAAAAATAAAATAATCTTTGTACTTTTATTATGCATGCATTGAATAGATTATCTTATATATAGATGTATTATATTTTTTTTTAATGGTTAATTCTAAAATCTATCTATATGTTACAACTATTAGGATGCTCAACTTTCAAATAAAAAGACTTAATTTATAAGTTAAGTTGATTTATTTATAGACTATAATAGAACCTTTGAATATGATATGAAGAGATTTGTTTCTACACCTTCACTAATTATAGATATTATAATACCATTGACCACAAATTATACTATTTTTGCAAAGAAATGTCTCTTGTTCTTTTATATGTTGACTTCTTTAATTGTAGTGTTGTATTACATGAATTCTTTTTGAGAATATATTAGACACTTGATTGTCGAAGGAAAAATGAAACTTGTAATAAAATGATTATAACAACTCTAATAGAATCTTAAAAAAACTTTAATTAAATTATAACAATGTTGATCAATCTTTAATTAAATCCAAAAGAATTTTCAAGAACTTACAAAAGAAACATAAAGAAATCATAAATTAATTTTAATAGAATATATATTTTCAAAAAAATCATTATTAAATTTTATCAAATCCTAATATAAATTTCAACAAATCTTAATGAAATCTTAAACCAATTCCAACCAAATTTTAATAAAATCCTAAATCCTAATCAAATCCTAATCAAATCCTAATCAAATCTTAAACAAATCCTAATAAAATCCTAAGAAAATTCTAAATCCTAATCATAGATCAAATTCTAATAAAATCCTAAACAATCCTAATAATATCTCAAATAAATTCCAATCAATTATTATACATGAAACTAACACTCAAAAATCTTTCTATTAGTTTTTTTCAAACTCTACTATCCTATTTGCAAAGAAACATTGGAATTGCAGTAGATGCTTGGTTTTATGCTTTGAGGTCTAATTTTGATCCTAATTGGCAATTGATCCTCTCTAGATATAAATTCTTATCTTCTTGAGATATTTTTTGCTAAAATAAATTCCTAACTTCTTCCTACATATGTCTATATTCTTTATTTTCTAATCTATCTTATTTTGCCTTATTTATGACTCTACAAAATAAATAGAATCCATTTTCATAAAAGATAATTCTAACACTAGTAGATTTTATTACTTGCCTATTTTTTATTTATATTTTTTTATTATATATTTTTAATTAGGCTCTTCTATAATAAAATACTATCCTTCTTCTTTCACCTAATGGCCATATTATTATATGACAACAAACTTCTCTCTTTGAGTCCAAATCATCATATAAACTTTTGAAGTTACTACATTTGCTACTATTGCAGCTTTCTTTGCCCTTGTGCTTCTCTAGCTTCTTTTTGATGTTTTCACCATAATTGGACCATCTTTATATGGCTATTTTGATGGAAATAATAACATTTGAAATTATATGATTTTTTAGTCAACAACTTATAAATGAACCCCTTCTTCTATTATTTTATTTTATTTATTTATTTTTTCTTCTTTCAATGTTTTGTTTATCATTTTTTTTTTTTTTTTTTTTTTTTTTTTTTCTTTTTTCTTTACTTCTACTTTTTGTTATTTTAGTCTATGAATTTAGTCTCATTTAGTAGTATATTCTCTTTGAGTCCTTGCACTTCAAAAAGATTTAGCTTCTTGATTCATTATTTAATATAGTATTAATTCTAGTAATCATCAATTTATTTTTAATTGTATTTTGATGTCAATTCATGGTTTCTTCAACTTTTGCTAAATACTTATCTTATCTAGTTTTTATACTTATTAAGTTTAGATGCTTTAAAGGCTCTTATACCAAAAAAAATTCTTATTTTTTAAAATTAACTTTCATCTAATGTTCATTGAAATAGATCCTTCTTTTATATTCAACTTATTTCATTTTTATTTTAACAATAGTTAGATTTTATATAATAGGATATAGATAAGATATTTTTATTATTGACATATAGAGATAGATAGTTGGAACCATGCTTGAGAAATTATGGAAGTTTCTAGAATTGAGGCTAAATTAGTGGAGCATGTAGGATCCATTGTGGAACATTCTAGAAAGAGCTTAGGGTGGTTATTTAGATGGAGCCTAGTATGGAACGTTCTAGAGGGAGTTTAAGGTGGTTATCTAAGTGGGATCCACCATCTAAGAACATTCTAGAAAGTCTAAGGTGGTAGAATAAAGAATAAATAGGACTGGCAAAAGCCTTTTGGGTATCTAGTCAGGTATGGCTTTGTATCTTCTCTCTTAATAAAGTTTGGTTTTGCATCTTTCTGTTTAGTTTTGTTTTGTTCTATTTTTATTTGCAAAGTTTTGTCTTTCATGATTTATTCTATTTAGTTCTCTTTAATTTTATTCTGGTCCATTTTGTCCCACTTTGTGATGAGGTTTTATGTGGTTGTCGATTAGATGAGTCTTAGACTCTCAAGATAGATTGGTCTTGTTTCATTGATATCAGAGGGAGTGTTAGACTATTCTTTGGTAGTGTGTAGATAGCCATCATCTAGTTTGAGGTCAATTATTGTGGTCACACTTAAAACTATGTTGAGGCTATCATGAGCTATTTTAAAAAAAACAATTGGAAGGTGAGATGGCATTATAATATTAGAGTCCAATAAGAAAATTACAGCATGAGAGATATGGCAGAGCAATATCAGATGGAGGCTCAAATACAACGCCTTTTAGGCGAGATAGCTACTTTGCAAGGGTAAATAGAAGCCTCAAAGATAAAAGAATTGATATTTGTTAGGCTGAAATTGAATAAGCCTAGTACATACTTTGGGACTTCAAGACAAGAAGATATATGTCAATGACTCTCCAACATAGAACAACACCTCCAACTATCTAGGACAAATAACATTGAAAAAATTATATATGCATCTAGTTATTTGAAAGATGTGGCAAACATTTGGTGGAGAGATTGAGTTCAAACCTATAAAGCTCAAGGTGGATTTTATGATTGAAAAGAGTTTGAGACCGAGTTTAGGAATCAATTTTGCTCCATCAATGCAAAGAAGATATCAAATGATTAGTTGGCAAATCTTATACAATTTAGATTAGTGCAAGTTTATGTCTTTCAATTTAAGTCCTTATGTCTCAAAATTGATAATATTTCAGAGGCGGAGATGATGGATAGATTTCTACGGGATTTGAAGTTTGGGATTCAGCAAGAAGTGGAACTAAGGAATCTACAAACTTTTGTAAAGGTAATTAGGATTGTAGAGAAGGTCAATGCTATAGATTTTAAAAATCATAGAACATGATCTATAGCATGAATTACTATGTAGCTATTTAATACTATGGTACAACAACTAATGCCAATGGAGATTAATGCCTTACAAGGATCATTGACACCACATAGATGACAAATATTGGTGCAAAAGGGATTATATTTCTATTGTTGGAAGCTAGGCCATTAGATTGGAGATTGTCTAAAATGTCAAAATTCAATCACCAATAAAATAAGGTAGATTCAGAGTCTTGAGATTCACCAACTTGATAATAAGACAGAGCAAGGAAACGAGACTCTCAAATAAAGGCACCAAGGGCTAGTATTGAAGATAGCTATTGTCTCTTAAAGAAAAATAACATGGCCTCAAACAAGTATAAAAAGAGTTGACTAATGCATCTAATGGGACTACAAAGAAGACATCTATGTTGAATGCTTGTGGATTGTGGCTCTACAAATAATTACAAATTGATTAAAACTAAGATAATTAAGGAAAAAAATATATATCTTGTGTATAATCGAGAAAATGTATTGAGTAAGACATGTGAAGAAGAAATCTTGAGGTTGATTGAAACTTACATCTTAAGAGAGAGGTTTAAGATAACAAAGATAAGTTATGATGTTATCCTTGGTATGCCATGGTTGGAGGTGGAAAATAAATAAGTTAATTGAGTAGCAAAGATAATTTCTTTCAAAGATAGTAGATTCAAGGTAACTCTTTGTACTTTGCATTAAGTGAAGAAAAAAAATAATTTGCAACTAAAGATTTACTTGTAGAAATGACTTTTATGAGGAAGAAAATATAGCATAAACAACTAGTGTATATGGTGGTTCGAAATCTTACATTAGAAGTGGGAAAGATAACTAAAGGAGTTGTTCATATAAGATTATTGGGATGTCTTTCCAACCAATCTACCTAATGGCATACCTCTTGATCAAGGTGTTCCTTTCAAATAGAACTATTGCTTGTAGCCAAATCAGCAAGTTGGCTAATTTATTGCCTAGTACCAAATGAATTTGAAGAGCTGCTGAAAACATTGGACAAACTCTTGGAAAAGAGCTTTATTTGAAAAAGTACATCACTGTGGAGAGTATCTATACTTTTTGCATTCAAGAAGGATGGTAGACTTTGGCTTTGCATTCACTATCAAGGCTTTCATAAGCAGATTGTTAAAAATGCATATCCACTTTCACGCATAGATGATCTTCTTGATCGACTTTGAAATGCGACCATCTTTAATAAATTGGATCTTCAAAGTAGATATTGGCAAACACCTATTGCAAGAGAGAA